ATCTGGTGGAGATGATGGTGATGTTATTGATGCAGACTTCAGCGAGAGCAAATGAAGAAAAAGTAGGAAATGGCTGATGTTTTGTGAACTAAGTGTGAATTTTTGATAGTAGGGTTATGTATATCAGGTAAACTGCTCAGCTGGTTTTGATTGGTGATACTGGTTAAACTGTTCCAGATACTATAGCCATCCAGAATTTTTTATGTTTCCTGGATTTGAGGCCATATCCACTTAGTAAGAGGGGGGATTGTAGTTGTATATAGTACATTGAGCTTGATTACGGTGCATGGTTCTTCAACCAGTTTTTCTTCTCAATTGCGCCATTGTTTCGTCACAAAATTGGAATCAGAGTCTTCGAGAGGATTTTGGACACGAGTCTTGCGTGTGAAAAGGATTGTTTCTGGATAAATCGTCAAGCTTTATATTTATCCCTTCACTGTGATACCGGTGCATAGAACCCGATGCGAGTGTTAGGTTTATCATGTGGTTTTCACGGAAATCGAATGTTCTTTTCTTTTGGCGAAGCGGAAATCTCTCTTGCTGTTTGCATTTGCTTCCTAAGTTGAAGAGATTGGTCTCCACTGCCGATTACTTCTGGTTGATATTAATAATAGCATGTGTAATACAGGCATGAAGCCTGGAGGCTCTAAACCGTGAAAGCATTTTTTTGGCATTTTCCAAATTACAATTATTAACGCCGAGAACCGTAAAGTTGGAAACAAGGCATCAAATTTCCTCGATCTTTAACCCCCAATAATCATGAAGTTGGGAAAAGGGAATGGATCATGGCAAGAACTCATGATTGCCAGAAAAGTAATCTTGGAACCTCTTCTTACATGCTTCCAAATCTCGAATGAAGTACTGAAACATCATCACTCAACTTCTGTGGCTCTGTTGAGTTGCTAAAGATTTGCAAAGACTAGCTAATTTTATGTTATACAGATGGTGATTTTGCAGGAATATGTCATCAATTGCTGGAAGTAACATGTAAAGATGAATTCTTAATCGCAGAAAATCTGGTTTTGCGGGAAGATAAAATCCTAGGAACTGCTACAGCCTACAGAGGCCAGAAACTAAAATTTTTGTTGTCAACCAGTTTTCGCCAAAATCAATAAGCAATGCTCTGATAGAATTCATCAGAACATCTGAATATGTATACCGGTCCAGCGAAACTGCTTGCAGAAGATGAAAGTAACAGGATTTGCTGCAGGTGCCAGAAAGTGGAGGATTTTTTTTATCAAATCATGTGTATCTTGCTTTTCTTTCCCAAAATGAGAGTAAATTCTCACTGCTTGAATCCCTTTACCCCTCCCCTAATCAAAAGAATACCACCGAAAGCAATCAAAGTTCAACAATAAAGAACACAAAATAGTCTTTTTTAACATTAGATTTCTCTGGAAGAACTCAACTAAAATCCAAATATTCCTTGTGGCAAGTTTTGGAGAACAAGCATGCTTTCAGGTGTTTGAAATCTCAAGTACATAAACTAGAATCGAAATATTCGTTTACAGGCTCTGAAAAACTTGCCTCTTTTCTTGATGGATCTTGTCTTCACGGCAGTCAGAGTTACATTTTCATCATCTTCATCATGTTCTGTTGGATCCCATTGGTGGTGAATTCTAGAGTAGCCTTCGGTGACCGAGGATGATCTCCTCATAGAAAGTACCCTCCTCACTGCATTTGGGAGTGATGCAGTTTCTTTCTCACACATGAAATAGTTCTGAGAAGAAGCTGAGGAGACCGAACATTTTCGGCTCAAAATGACTCCAAATACCTCTCCAGCAGAGTCCCCATGATGATCTTCCTGAGTTGGGTCATGGATATCAACGTTGGTAAGTTCTGGTATGTTCTTGTTCTGGTCTATTCTGGATTCTTGAGGTTCAGGCTTGTGACCATAAATAGATTTTGGTGCTTTGAGTGGTAAAGAAAGATCAGAAAAATCTATGGATTTTGATCTTCCTGTGCTGTCTTCTTTCATTCTTGAGTATCTACTCATTTTCCTTTCTTCTGCTTACAACTCTCAAGTAGGGTGCTGTAGCCAATAGTGATAGAGACTCAATTTTTCTATGAAAGAAGCTTAAGAGGACTTAGAAGGCGAAACTAAAACTTAAGTTGGACAAGAAAAGAAGAGAAGAGAAACTCTCTTTACAATTAGTATTTTACATTTGGTAGTAAAGAGTATTTGAGTTTTGCTTCCATTTTATTCCACTTTTGGTAGGAAAATATGGGGACTTTTTTTTTTTTTTTTTTTTAAAAAAGATCTTTTCCTTTCTCTCACTTAAAAACTTCCAAACAAGCTATTATTATATCTTTTTCCCCTAATCCTTTCTTTGACATTATATGTTTTCTTTCCATCCAAACAGACTATGCCTAAAGGTAGAGTCAAAGGGAAAAGGACTAAACATGTGTTATGCAACAGCTAATTTCAACTATGCCTAAATTGACTCTTGATTCTTACTTGATCACCAAATAAGACAGATAATCTTATAAGCGTTTACTAGAAAAAGGCAAAAAGAAGAAAGAAGAAAGAAGAAAGGATGACCAGTACTAAATGCTTGAGCTGGATCTAAGGCACAGGAAACACACTTCCCACTGAATTTGAGGTCCAATGAAAAGAGGGGTTATCAAAGTCAGGTAAATGCCAGAAATGGTGGTTGGAATTACTTTGAAAATGTGGAAAATCATACCTCATATCGTCAAAGATTTCAGCATCAAGACATAGTTAAATATGGGTTGATGGAGAAATCTTCTTGACTCCATCCATGACAACTGTCGTGTGAAATGGCACTGCGATACACACCATGACTTTGTTTTTTTCCTCCAACTTGCCTTTGGTAAGCCTGTTGAAACATTTTTCCTTTCATGTTTGTGCATGTCTGCCTGTTTAACGTGTTTGTCCGGCAATTGGCCATGTGAACTGTCTGCTTCCATGAAGTGACAAAACATTATATTGCCACTTCCATCCAAGTTCCAATACCAGGTTCTTCTGTCATTTTCCATAATGGCCGGTGGTGTCAAGCGTTGTTTTTGCCTAACAACCTTCTTAATTCCTGCTTTCTTACGACAGCATTCACCATGCAGTTTCTAGATTAAAAATTGGATTAAAATAGTCAAGGCGTATAAGACTCGGGAATTTTGGTATGTGAAACTAATCTATTGATTGATAATTAGGTATCACTAGATCCCCCTTAAATACGTAATAGTGTGTGTCATGAAAATTTTTGTAAACCATTAGTATTCTGTCCTGGTATCATCAACGGAAAGGAGTTTAGGAGGCCAGTCTTGAAGGTTAGTACCATTTTATCATCAAACAGAACTTAATAGAAGTATTCAAAGAAGGTGACAAGAATATCTCCCAAGGCACAAGTCTTTTGGGTTTAGTTTGTTAAGAACAAAAATTCACAAGCATGATGACACTAAAAATGTAGAAGAAAATAGAATTGATTACATTTGGATTTAGAATGCGTTTGATAAAATAGAAATTTGAAAACTGAAATTTGAAATCTAAAGTTTAAATCCGTTAAACTATTGAATTATTAAGTACTAAATCTGACACATTTGACTGTATATCACATTAAGGCCCTGTTTTATAATCCAATTCAGCACATAAACTTAATGAATTCAAATTTTAATATATTCAGATGCATTTAATAACTAAAAATTGAATATCTGAATTAATTTTTTTTCGTCAAAAGAATATCTGAATTAATTAAGTGGCACTAAATTTCACTTATCACTAAATGTGATATACACTTAAATGTATTTCAATTTTCAAAATTTCATTTTATCAAACGCACCCTAAGTGATAAGTGAATAACTTACCACTTATTTTTTAAAGCAAGTTTTGTCTAAGAAATTCAATGTCATTTAATTGATTCAGATACTCAATTTTTTTTATTATCAAATGTGTTTGAATATGTTAAGAATTGAATTCATTAAATTTTAATGCTGCATTGGATTATCAAACATGTCCTTAGCCTCTTTATGTAAATGAGAATCCAATGCCTATGGAAATAATTTACAAGAAATATTTTAGCCCGTGAATATGACTTGACGTATGTTGTCAAATATGAACAGACAACAGTGGGGATATATTATTCTTTGTAGTTTGTTTTTTCATAAGACTGCCAATTTGGCCTTTGAAATAGTGGCTATGTGTTCAAGAACTTCAAAATTGTGTCTACCCGAATTCAATTTTAACCTTTTGGCTAGATGTGAATTTCAGTTGGGAATAAGGCGGGGAAAAAAAAAAAGAGAGAGAGAATTCAAAATCTAGCCTGCCCGGCAGAAAAGATTTTACACCAGAACAAGTCCTCATGAAGTTTTACACAAATGCAACTAAAGCATCGCCCCTTAGTTTTCAAAATTGCATTACTCTTCTCTCACCTTTCATATCTATTTTATCTCCTGAAATGGAAACTAATGTTGGTAGAAGATATATCACTAGTTTGAAGACCATTTCATAGAGAATAGAAACCATCACAATTATGTTGGGGGTGATTATAATAAAAGACGACAATCTTTCCAGTAACAGTAAATTTTCAATAAATGTTAATGGACTGCAAATTTGCACACAGTAGATCTGCCACTGTAACATGAGTGAGTCAAGGGATATCGCTACAATACTAACGCATCACAAGTTCAGGAATATCTTGCAACCAAATTTCCTTGGCATGCTTTGCTGAATCATGCGCAACTCCATTTCTAGTTCTTATGTATTACAGCATACAGCCAAATGGTTGCTGGCAGAACAATATGTGTAAATCAGGTAAAGAATCCTGAGTTAAATCAGTTGACAATCTCAATCCCTGTCAAAGGTTTTCCAGCATGGACTTGTAGGGCAACATCTCCAACAACCTGAAAAAATTGAATAAGAGAATTCAAATATTACCATCCAAGAGGTATGAATGACTTTGAACCAGAAAAGTAGCAAAATGTTTCTGGCACAGGGGCACCAATTACTTGGGACATTTCTACCTGCATGAAAAAGTATTTTTAAATGTGTCTAATCTGATTTTAGAATTTGGTATCTTGTTTAAAGCCATTTAAGCTTTCAGGAGCATTTCAACTTGATGCAACTTTATGTCAAGGACCTCCGACCTCTGCTACTATTACTCTCTACCTAAGTTACTCGGACTTGGCTACAGGTTCCCACTGACATGGCTACTCTAGTGCAGAGTGAAGGGTCGGACATGGTACGGCAGGACAAAGTGAAGGGTCTTAAGTAACATAGCTCTCTACAATGAAAGCATAAATAACATGAATTCATCTATCTAAAGCTTCAACAGGTTCATTGTGCTGATTCTTCAGTGCAACTCCATAAGGCATGTCAATAGTCATTTGTAGTTGTACATGGTGGGTAGACTGTAACTCGAGTCATGTTGAGGCCATCACGACTGGAACTTCTAGAAAATGAGTTTCAGTGCACAATGGTGCACATCATGAATGAAATTCCAGTGGCTTTCTTATGAATTCCCTAGAGAAAAAGATGATCCAGCAAACAAGAAGACAATCAAAAGTATCTGCATCAATATAGAATTTTGTTCACAACAAAATGGAAAAGCAAGGTTCTATTTTAGTTTTAAATAGTCAAATAATTGAAAATCATCACAACGTGCTTAACATGACATATACTTGTCAATGAGTTTGAAGGGATTTGACAAACAATCTAACTGGACGAGCAAGATGGTTTCTAGACCAACTAAAGAACAAATGGATTAGTAACCTTCAAGTCAATCAGATGCTTGAATGATGAAATATGGAACTGTCATCATGAACGATATTTGGATGGATAGCACCAGAGCCTAAATTGCCAACAGGACAAGCTAATCTAAACAAATTCACAATGTAAGACCTCTAGTAATTAAGAGTCCCATGGAGACCTAAGCACTCCTAGTGGAGAGTCCCATGGGGACCTAAGCACTCCTAGTGGAGCACTTACTGGACCTCACCACCAGAGCAAGTACCAACAGCAAAAGTAATCGTGTTATATCAAGGTTTTATTATCTATCTATTATCGCATGGAATTGTAGTGAAGCATGTATTTGTTGCAAATTTGCATTTCGGCCAATGTAATCCAAATCTTGGTATTTGGTGTCAATGTATTTCCAGCAAGGTCTAAAAATTTGATCACTTTTCCTACACAGACTATATTTCCATCACAATTTGCTTTCATTTAGGATAACAATGTTAAGATCACTAGGATTTGCATCTACAATTCTCAGCAATGCAATACAACCTCCAAGAAAGTGCCAGTCCATTGACACTCTTTCCAGTCCACCACACTACCACAACCCACCATTTAAAGCTTAGAATACCCCATCCTATAAGCTTGTCAACTCTCCAACGTTTTCATCAACACCACATGCACTAGGACTACCTGAATCTTACAGTCCTCATTCGCTACTAATTGGAACTTGATTAAATCCAGTTAGGCAAATATATACGATCATGTGATTGTCTGTGTATGAGCTCCAGTAAAAACAAATATATGAATGTTTGAACAACTAATGTAACTTGAGGGCTTAAGTAAATTAGGACAGTATTCCAGCTATGACGTAGAGAATTTAAGTATGTCCATACCTTGGCCATGTATCTGTAAGAATATTCTGTAACCCCAGCAACATGAGGTGTAATAATGACATTAGGGAAGTTTAAGATAGCATCATCAGGATCAAATGGTTCAGTCCAAGCAACATCAATTCCTAATCCTCCCAAGTGGCCTGATTCAAGATGATGAAGAACAGCATTATAGTCCAAGAGGCCTCCTCTAGCTATATTAACCAACAAGGCACCCTGAAACCCATAGTAATGCAAATACAGTCCAACATATTATTTGAAAAGTTGCTTTAATCATGAATGCTTTTCTTATCAATGCAACATCAAAATGCTAGTAAAAATGCACAAAGACATTATTGAAGATATGATGGGAAAATAAACACAAAATATTATATGATTCAACCATAAATAAGAAGAAATTAGTGATAAAGAAATAAATAATTGAAACTTAATGGTGCTGTTGAAGGTACGCTTAAGTTTGTCTCTTCCCTCTCTACAAGAGACATGCATCCAAGCACACAAGCACAAGCATGCAAACAAAATGCGGTCACTTCCAGTATCAGCCATATAGCTTTGCTACATAATCAACCTCTGTTAAATTTTTTGGGGTTAATTACATTTTTCCCCTTGAACTTGGGCGCTTGTAACACTTTGCCCCCTTAAACTTCTAATATATACACTCTACCCCTCGTGGTTAACTTTTTGACAGGGTTAAGATAAAGTTATATTTTTCATCACCAAAATACCCTTGGCTAATTCTCAAACACACACAATAACTGTAACATAATAAGCACCTATTTCTTTAGTAGTTGCTAAATGCATTTAAACACAATTACACTATGCATTTTGACCTTTTAGTTCGAAAATGAATTAGATAATCTATAAAAAGAAGTCTAAACAACTCAATGTGTTTATCTCAATGCCAAAAGCAATACTTATTTTAAATGAAATAAAATTAATTGCTGCATTTGGAATGAACATTATTTGATAATATTTTTTCATTGTAGCACTTTTTAATGTGTTTTTCATCAGATAAATATGACTAAAAAATAAAAATGTATTGAAAAATGTATTTAGAGAATCTCCATTTTTTCTAGAAAAAATGTAGCTGTTTTTGGAGGTGTTTTTCAAAAATTTTACTGTAGCCGTGTATATGAAAAACTTTTACTGTAGATGTTTTTTGGATTGTTTTTAGAGGTATTTTTAAAATATATTTTTGAGTATTTTTATAATTTACAATTTTTTTGGGATATTTTTTTTAAAATTTTACACGTCCCACCACTATCCCCTCCCTTTTCCTCCCCCTCTCTCCTTTCTCTTCCTCTCCTCCTCCCCTCTATTTCCTCCCCCTTCTCCTCCTCCTCCTCCTCCTCCTCCCTCTTTCCTCTCCCTTCTCCCCCCTCCCCTCCTTCCCAACAACCCCAAACCCCTCTCCTGCTCGCGGGTGGTGGCTGCAACTTTAGCCACCACTCTAACCACAACCATCTTGGTCGTGATCAGATTTGATCGTGACTAGGAAGGTTGCGGTCAGTTGAGGGGAAGGAAATTGGGAGGCGGGGAAAGGGAAAGAAAAAAGGAGGAAGGAGAAGGAGAGAGAGGAAGAGGAAAAAAGGAGGAGGAGGAGGAGGGGAGAGGGAGGAAAGATGGGCGGAGAGAGAGAGGAGAGAGAAGAAAGGGTTGCGGGCGTGGGGGTGGTGGAGGTAAGGTGGTGGCCGTGGTGGTGGAGAGTGATGGATAGTTGTGTATTTTTTTATATATTTGGAGTTGTTTTTGATATATTGTATGAATATGGTATTTTTGGAGTTATTTTTGTTTGCATATTACTGTAGCATTATAGATGAAAAAATTGTTTTTCAAAAAAGTCTGTATCCAAACAGAGCCGTAGATTTCAAACAAAATACAAAGCAAGGTGTGAATACAGTTTAAAATACCAAACAACATCTTATTGACTCATGAAAATCTTGTAAAATTGCAAGGTAAATGAAAATTATCAAAACCAATCCATTTACAATTTAAAGGAAGAAAGATAAGTGATGCAAAACTTGTGTAGAAGTTTTAAGAATTTTAAAATTCTTTTTTTTCCACAATACAATTTTTCAATTCTTTGGTATTATACCATCTTTTATTTTTAAATTTTTTAAATCATGTGACTTTGTGTTTTTTCTAATAAGATGTTTCATAATCTAATTAAAAGGATAAGCATCATTCTAGAACCATTATGTATGGGCATTAATGTCATTTTGTCAAAATTTTAGATGGAAAATTTATCATTAATGTTTGACTAGTCAATGAAGGAGACAAAGTGTATATATTTAAAGTTCAGCGGGGCAAAGTGTTATAAGGAGTCAACTTCAGGAGGAAAACTGTAATTTGGGGTGGGGGGTGAACCTCTACACTCTGTTGTTAACCCCTCCCACTTAAAAACTATTAAGTGAATCTTCAAAGCCTAATCATGTTGGTGTCATAAAAGAAAGGTTATATAGGTCATTTTGGCATGAAAACTAGCTCCAAGCATCCACTTTAAACGGAAGGCTGACACACAAATTTGTAAAAACATGAGGCTTATGATGCACGGGGCTCTCAGATGGTTGGACAGCTATTTACAAGTTTCACTCGTAGGAAGAGAATTTGTCCTTTACCCAATTTAAAACCTGATAAAGATCCATTTCGATTTTTTCTTTCAGCTGAAATTTAGAAGGTCATAATTAGTTAAATGTATGATGTTATATCATGTTTTAAACCAGACAAGTTTCCTGTGCGTATCAAATTATATACTGTAGACAACAATCGTTTTGACCAATATCATGGCAAATCACTTTCCTCAAAATTGTAGAATACTTTTTACATGTTTGCGAAGTTAGGGATCAAAATATTTCTAATGATGAATCCTCGTCAGTTACCTAGATCATCACTGGAAAATCTAAAAGTTATTGAAGTGGATTCTGAAACCAAAAATGATTGGTGTTCATAAACTACCAGACAACTAATTATCTGATAAAAAATCACTACTGCACATGGATATTAACAACTACCGCTAAAAAAGCAGCCAACTGAAGAATATTGGGAAATGCCACATTAGATTTTATTCAAAATGCACATTTCCTGAATTTATTCTTCGATTAATGATTTTACACTTCATAATTGCAGTCCAGCCATCTTAGCAGCAGTAAGGACATTGACCTAGATACAATACATGCCAGGTTCGAACTTCCTACCCAGAAAAAATTGGGAAAAAACAGGTGTCTTTGTAACTAGGACTCATCACAATGGTTTAACATGACAACTATATATTGACTCATTTAAAAATTCACAATTTTAATATATTTCCATGAAAAAGTTTAGATGGAAATTCAAAGTGAAAGTACATATGTGAAAGGCTTTTATAACCTTCATTTCATAGACTTAATTAAAACCCAAGTATAGTGATATGCATGCATCAAGAATAGTCGTGTTGAGGGAACCAACCTTTTTCATTGAAGAGATGAAACCCTCATTCACAATGCCAGCCTGGAAGTAAAATTGGGAAATTAAAAGATGAAAATTCATAGTTTGACAAGTAAGACAATGTAGCAACACCATGATGGGATAACTTTGAATCAGTTGTGAATTTTGAGCTAACAAATGGAAGTGCATAACATAAATCCTGTTTATTCTGTTGGTAAGTTATTGCCCATCTCTTAGATTATGTTATAACCAATATATAACTAAAATTTCGTCAGAAGCAAGTATATGGGAAACATCAATGCAACACAGAGAGGCCTAACCGTTTCTGCATTCATTACTAAGCAACAGACCACTATGTCAGCTTTACTCGCAAAATCAATGATATGTTCATGAGTTCCCTTCTCATCAACTAGATCATCTTCAGTGCCATTTTCAGTGCAGAATGCTGTAAATATATGATAAGACATTGAAAACAACATTCACAAAAAGATGTCAGCAAGCAAGTTTTCATACACAGGCTTCATACCTTCAGTTTTGCATGACTTGTCTAAGTATGACGCCCAACTGCGCTTGGTAGCAATTATTTTCACACCAAATGGACGCAAACGCTGTGCTAACTTAATCCCAATATTTCCAAATCCCATAATGAATACCTACAGGAATTATGCACCACAAGTTCACAAACAGCAGCAATAGCAAAATGATGAAACACTAAAAAGTCTCCAACTAAGATCTTAACCACAGTTTACCAAGATGCAAGTCCAATTTTAATGGCAATTTGCATTATGACTATGTAGACATATTCACTCTGTAAATGCAATGAAGTAGATAGACATTAGCCGAGATTGGGCTTACCTATCATGCAAATCATAAATGGTAACGAGCTTGACATTGTTCATTAACTATAATTCAAACTAGTAGCTAGCAACAAGAATGTCAAGTTTGGTTAAAATAAATTATGCCCTCTGCTTGAAAATTGCTTGACATTTTGGAAATTATAGACACCAAAATTAGGAGATTAACCATCCCCAAAAATTCCATTTTCAGTGAGCATTTTACCCATAAATACTATTGACATAAAAAAACAAATAGATTTATAAAATACGTGTTATTCTTGCAAACTTCACTTGTCACGATGTTTGTCCTTCATACTTCCCTACCATTTCATGCAGCAGTTGCTTGGCAACAAATATGACCATAAAGGTCAGCTGATTTAAAGTCCTAAGCAATCTTAACACCCTTCCCCTTTATAGCATTGCATGTTGCCATTACTCCGAGGTTGTTAGCATCATGCTCAGTTCTTCTCCTGGACATACTCATGCATCTCCAGATCCTTCCTCCCTTTCCCTAAGGTTAACTTTGAAGATCTTAAACTGCAAATTGTCGTATATTTTCGCAAAAATCTCTAAAAAATTTACACTATTCAGCATCCACAATAACATGTCAAAGTATTTAGCATCCAATTTGTTAAGTGGGAGTTCCTTGCTAACACAACATACTTAAACTTAGTTTTCAGTTTCTGTCAACTTGAGTAATTGACTAATTGAACCTTGAATACAACTACCAAACGAAGATAGGCTGGACCAAACAAACATTCCCTATATTAACCTCCTTTAAACCGTCGATTCAGTTCTTGTACCCAATTTCTCCCTGCTAAGATGATTAACTCAGCTAATAAGAATCACATCTCAAGTTGGAAGCAAAGTAGGCAGTTTCAGCAAAGATTACCACTCTGAGACCTAAAAGCACCCATTCACATGAGCTAGCAACTTTCAGTTCATTTGCACTTGTACATAAGTGATAAGTCCATACTAGATGAAATTAATTAACCAGAGAGGTATCTATCCTACCATATACAGTACCATAGCAAATAGGAAGATGCAAAAACTAACTCCTTTTTTGTTTCATTCTAACTGTTCACATTTCATTATTAGTTTATTGAAAAGATTCTTCCTTTTCCCTGAATGGAATTTCCTTTCATGATGTCCCATAAGACAAAAATCATAGGAGATATGTTTAGTAGTAGATTAGTAGCTTGTCATGCCATGTTTTCCCTTTTTCCCCGCTATGGGTCCCAATGCACCTCAGAATTTGGTGCCACTGTTAATATGGAGTTCAATTTCAAAGTAGGGTGTAATGTCAAGCAAGATAAAATTACCATAAGGAAAGATGGCACAAAAAGAAAGGGAGTATTCATTCCGAAGGAACTCAGAAACTCACTGTTTTCCCCAGAAGGGTGTCACCAACTGGCACTCCAAGTTTTCTCTGCTTCACTGCAATTTGCATTTCATTCTGAAATAATAGCATCATGCTTAAGCACAAACTTTACCTATTTCTGGACCCACCAAGTAAGTGGCTACATGTACACCTTAGACTATATGTTGATACTCGTACTCTTAATTAGGTGACATACAACAAACCCCCCTCTCACTCTCTGCTTCCAACAAAACACTGACTACACGTTAAAATTGTGGAGATATTATGGATGCGGATGAAAAAGGATAAATACGCAATTGTAGTGATGCCCTTCCCCCTACACCTAACCCCATCTCACTCCATGACAAGGAAGACAAAGTGAAAATAGACTTCCAAAAAAAAAGGTAACTTTAAGCATACAGACCACCTTGATCACATTACAAGTACATGTACGTAACCAACGTAGAAAAAGAGTACAAAGACAGAACTGCAGATGTAGAAGAGCTGTGAACAGAGAATACTTGGAAGCCTAAATGATTTCAAATAAGTCAATCAGTTTGACAATAGATCCTTCATATGCTAAAGTAAAAAGTCATCACAGGCTTTAATTAGTTGTGCCTCTTTAAGGAGAAATAGGTCATAGGCAAGGCTCAAGACTCCCAAATACCAGTCACAAAAAGTTATAAGTTATGCATCATAATGGTGTTTCATCATCAAGGTACATGTTTAAATAAGATGAAAACCCCATCTATGGAGCCAGGTCAGGCATATAAACTTCTTCCAGACAGGTCAAAAGCATAAGCAGAAGTAACAATAAATAGAACAGAAGCGAGCAATTCATGAGGTTTTTAAGGGTACATCATGATTGTACGTCAGATCATCCTACTCCCCCCAGTGAAAATGATTCATCTCCAAAGTAGATTTGCAACTCCTATATCAAAAGTCCAATGCAAGTAATCATCATTTTCAATCACCTAACAGAAATTCTGTAGACATTAGCAAAATAGAAATACTTGCTTAATGTCTACTCTATGTTGCTAGGTAAATCATACAGAACAGAAGGGCTGAAACAACCAACTTGTTTACGAAGAAGACCCAATATCAGATATATGGCCATTTCAGCACATGATACTGCATTTCCTGTTGCACCACTTGGAATTCTGGCAATCTTTATCCCATGCTTTGATGCAGCACCAATGTCAACACCTTTATGTAACCAAAAAAAACCACTAAATTAGACAGAGCATCAGGGGAAGATTGACATAGACAAGAAAGTTCACGAGCTTCATGTAAGTGTAAAAGAACACCTTCCAAGCCAACCCCATACTGCATAATGAGCTTCATCCTCTTTGCATGAGAAATCAGCTCTGAGTTCAGTCGCATACTTTTTACCACACAAAGATGATAGTTTCCAATTACATCAGGCACACTGTCAAATGGAACATCATCAACCTGCAATAAAAAGGATAAAAAAGCTTAACAAAGCATTTATATGGATGTAAGTCTACAACTGTCACTCAACTATCCAAAAACATGTCAGAGAAGCATCAACAGACCAGAAAGAGAAGAGAAAACTTAATTGCACAACTATTAATCAAAACTTGGAAAGCCAATTGGTATTTCTTCAATTTTGAAAAGACAAAGCAAAAGTGAAAGCATTACGATGAACTTGAATTTAGACAATCGCACAGTAAAAAGTGAGGAGAAAAAAAATAGTGAATCAGGCTAAAAGGGTAAAAACTGTACAAGTGTAGTTGCTAAAAACTGTATGACGGAATAATAGAAAAGTACAAACTCTCCCTACAGGCATATACATATCTTGAATCTCAATATACTTATTAGTTCTTAATTGCAGTTCTGACATGTCCCCAATTATGTCATAATTTTCATCCTCTTAATCCTATCTCTCTGCCACTTTCAGCACTTAGTTGAAATCCTTTTCCATACCAGTTACCAGCTAACTCTCCTCACAGTACCTATACCATATCATTTACAGTTTTTCTTCCATAATTATGTTCCAAATGCTCTTGAATCATTTTTCCTTGCTTATTTGGATGCAGCTTGAACATGTTAGAACTAGCAGAGCTTTATGCACTGTACCACATTTCACTATAATATTTTAAGCTACAAAGCTGACCACTTTTCAAGAAAAGGTGCAATTTGGCTTTTGCAAGTGGGCATAGGTGAGTACCTTATTTGCCCAAAGTACATAATTTTTCTAGTACGATAGGCATGTAACACATGGGGACTAACTGCATTTAATCAAACTTCCCATTTTAAACATGTCGAGCTTAGAGATTAGTATAAGTAACAATATTAGATTATTTGCATAACTCTTAGATCTTCTCCATATCTCATAAAACCAGGTTCATATTTTTGGCAAAACTTTGTTCAGATGATTATACTTGACAATTTGTACAACTCATGCAGTAGAAATTTGTACATTGTTTCCAAATACAAATAGATTTATGTTACTTGGTGCTGCAATTATGAGAAGTGACTAGCTTTAGGACATACAATCATATACATAATTATGGAAGTTACGAAGTTAATTACCTTTACAAATGGATAGTCCTGCAGATATTCTCTTGTATAATCATGAGATGCTGGAAAGTGAGGCCCACAAAAAAGAACGCGTGTAACTTGATCACTTCCATTGTCCATTTTTTGGCCTTCCCCACTATGCCTGCCTTCATAAGCTTAAATGTCAAACAGCATACCATTTGTACCTTCAAAGCACAACTTTATCCTAACATGTTCTTTTGTTGTTCAATTCTAATAGACAGAAAAATACATTATACATTTGCATATATCCAGATAAACTGCAGCATGATTAGAATGTAATATTTTTAATTCATCACCTACTGTCAAATTGCAATCATACTGTTTCTTGTCATTATTTTTGGAACCTGTAAACCTCCTCCTGTGTTACATCTCAAAACTCTTTCATTCGATTCTAACTCACTGCATTACCTTCTGATTTTAACTAATTAGAGAAAGAATGCATTCGCTATGCAGAGAAAGCAACACAATGCTTATTTTACTGCTGCTCAACAGTTCTCTATCAAGAAAAGATACCAAAGATGTGATCTAAAAGTCAGGAAAATAAGAATACCTAAGCTGGTATAAGCTAGCAATGCAACAAAACCATTCCCAAGATTTTCTGTTTGGGTAGGCTACCCTTTTTCTTTTAGTGTAGAGACTAATTTGGATCATTATACAATGTTCAACAATTCATCTACGGCAACAGAAAATAAAAATACAGAGCATAAGACAATGGCAAATGCCTCCATGAAATCTCAAATGCATCTGCCATTACCTGTTGGCACTTATTCCACGTTTAATTGCACACATGTGCTGTTTAACTTTGGAAAGGGAGAGCCTAAAATGGGAAAGTAGAATAAAAATCATAACTTTAATGCAGTAAGTCACAGTCTTAATCTTCCTAATTGTTCTGGCATGGACACTAGCCAAATATAAGTGAAAATGAAGATAAAAAATTATAACCATGTATCGTCTAGCCCGTGATAAACAACATATTCAATCATAAAATGGCTTTGAAGGCAAGGAAACATAGTGGTGCGATACTACCACCATAACAAAAGAAATCAACAGAAACAACACCCAAATGGAGGATCCTTCAAAGTAGTCAAAAATTTGATGAATCTCTAGTGTTAAATGTTCTAGATGGCAAGTTGCCAACCATCAATCACAAGAACTTCAAATGATGCCACCGCTGCATATTTTGCAGATTCCAACTAGTTGCATTTCACTCTTAGCAAGTCATAAGAATACGTTCTCAAGATCCCAATATTACTGTTATAATGAAAAGGGTCAATAAAGTTACACTTTCTGATGCCAACATTTCCACCCCAACACCCATGTTTCAATATTTTATGAATTCCCAAAAACTAGGAAATATTTTCTCAAATAACACCCAGAATTGTAATCTCTAATCAAGGGAGAAGTGACAATTAGAGACAACAATCATAACATGACCGAGGGAGTTTGATTACCTGGGAAATTGGGATTCTTGTTTGATTACCTGGGATTCTCGAGATGAAAAAGTGGCGATGGAGTGTGTGATGACTGCTGGGACTTTGACTCCACCTACCGCTGCTCCTACCAACTAAACCTACCGCTTCTAATGATTTAACAACCGTTACTAACAAAAGAGAAGTGGAGCTTCCGGCTCGATGCATGACCGAGGGAGGAGATGGGAATTTGGCAGTGTGTCAACTTCTCACCCTGGAAAAACATAGAACAAGATCATTGACCAAAACGGCATAATTTTTTTTTTTTTTTGAGTTTGTTTCAAATTTTACTATAATTTACTTTAGAATTTTTGTAAGAACCGTTTTTTTGAGTTTGTTTAAAATTTTACTGTATTTTGCTGTTGAATTTTTATAAAATTTTTTAAAATTTTACTATAATTTACTGTGAAACTTTTATAAAAACTTTTGTATGCGAAGTCTTAGGGCAATAAGTGTTATTGCTTATAGCACTTAGTTAGTTTAATTATTCTAATTTCTTTTTTTTTGTCAAATAATTATTCTAATTTCTAACTCTTAATTTAAAACTTTAGTGAGACAAGTTTATTCCTATTACATCTTAGCTAAATTTTTCGTTTTCTAAAATTTTGGAAAATGAGAATATGAAATATTAGACATTATTGTTATGGAAGGATTTGTGATTTTGCTTCTTGTTGAATGTAGCGCATATTTGTTGTCATTGAATTTACATTCAATGTTTTGGTACACACACATAGCATGAGAGCATTCTTACTACATTAGAATGTCATAAAAGGATTTGCCTTTAGGGTTAAAATTGTGTTATTTTGTCTGAGTTTTTTCTCTTAACTAAGAACTAATATATCTCTTTGCAGACTTAAGTTTGGCAATTAAGTCGAAGCACATTCCCGTTTGACAAGTGAGTTGTTTGTCTAAAACTTTATTGTAGTTTACTGTTGAAGTTTTTTAAAAAATTTTTGAAGTGTGTATAATTTTGAATATTTTGAAGTGTATAGTTTAAAAACGTTGAAAAGTTTTTTAAGATTACTGTAGTTAAAATTTTTAAAAAACTTAGAGCAGACAAACTTGGTAAAAAATTCAAGTGCCAATGAAGTGTTTGTCTATTTGTGGTGTTGTGGATAGCTTCATTAAAATTTGGGTAAAGTGTACCATAAATCACCAAACTTTTTTAAAATCTCATCGAATTCACTGTACTTCTTTTCATGTCAATGAAGCCACAGAACTCATGAAATATTTCATTTTGATCATTGAAACACTTCATTTTTATCATTTTGTCTAAAAAATCAGTTAAGCGAGATGGAATTTGCACCAGATAATTTGTGCATGATATCTTTTTTTTTTTCCTCAAACGTTAGATGTCATATTATATATATTCACTTGATAATACAAGGGGTTAATTACAAAAAGAAGTCTCAGCCTTCCAATCATTGTAGGCTGCTTCTACTAACCAAGTTGGGAAGTTGTTTTTCCAATCAATGTCATTAACTAGCTGTGTTGCAAATTTTGCTAGCCTATGACTTCCTACATAGGCTACATAACAGTTTTTGGCATTTCACCTAACAATATCTAAGGTCTATTCATGTCTTCTCCAGGTGATTTCCTTCCTTTTTCATGTTTTGTGATTTTTTTTTTCAATAATGTGGAAATCCATCCATAATTACATTAAAATCATCATCTATACAACGCATACATACATACATACATACATACACATATATCTATACGTCCAAATGGTACTGTGAATGCTGTTCATCAGGAAGTGGGGTGATGGCTATCTTTTTTTACTTATTATGATGTTGTTAGTGTAGATCTACAAGTTTATATCTTCCTGATGAGATTTATTAATTTCGTGATTATCATCTTTCTTTATTTATGCTACTGATAGTGTAGATCTACAAGTTTAGATCTGATTAAATGAGACTGGTTAACTTCGTGATTACTATCTAATGTATTCAAGTTTATTATAATTTTGATAGTTTTGATTTCATGACTTTGGATCTGATTGAATGACATGAATCCAGTAAGTGCCAACGTTCGGTCCAGGTAAGACCATGAGGGATTTGGCTCTGTAGGGTGTTGAGGTTCTTAGGGTGTGATGCTCTAGGACAGGGAAGTGTCACATGATCAGATCCAGGGAAAATGGATTTTTACTATCAATCTTATAATTTTGTTTGGAAATATAGTCGTCATGCATAGTTAATCTTTCTCAAATATTTTATATCTGTTCTTGTAGGTTTATTACTATCTTTATTATGATGGAAATATGGTCGTCATATATAGTTAATCTTTTTCAAAAGGTTAGATCTTTTCTTGTAGGTTTCACACTACCCTTTATAATCTGTTTAGAAAAAATGGTTATCCTCCATGGATCCTAAAGGATTCTGTGCCAAAGGGAAGAGGATCATAAGTTGTTTAAATCTTTTTGTGTGTTTAACTTTTATTTATTTTTGCTTATTTTTTCTATGGCCTCATCTGTTAAAGCATATTTTATTTCTTCTAGTTCTTCTTTAAACAACAAACCTTTAAATGATCTTCAAACTAGAATTAATCGGATTGAACAATCAATTCTTAATCAAAGAAAACTAGAAAACAAACCTTCTGATTTCCAGAATGACAAAGAAAAACTTAGATCTGAATTCTTTGCAAACCACAACTATTTTAAAAGAAAACAATTTTTTGACAAACATAAGAGAGAAGCCCGAAAAAATATACAAGAAAACTTTTATGACTTTCTTAGAAAAACAAAATAAAATATTCATTTCTTTGACTGGTATGAGTCTCAAACAACTAAAGAGTCTGCACCAAAACTCAAAAAGCCAGTTCAAAACATTTCAAAACCTGCATCCTCTATGTCAAAACCTCAGGGTTCTACTTTAGATCCCATTCAAACTAAGTCAAAAGTCATAGATCTATCTCAAACGGAATCTACACAAGAATCTTTAGATCTATCCATAAATCTATTTCAAACAACCCAGACACTACAATCATCTCATAAACCCTCAGAATCCATAGATCCATTAAAATCAAACTATATAAACCCAGTTGATATAGATCTACCAGATTCTCCCGTGGATCTATCAAACCCAAAAGATTTACCAAACCAAGAGTTTATTAAACTTCCAAAACTTTTAATTTTTGGTTAATCATTACATAATTCTGTTAATACTACTAGTCTTGATATTAGAAAAGACATAGGATATTCCATAATAAATGTCTTAACTAAAACTCAACCTAGTACCAAACCTATCACTATTAAAGATTTTCAAACAGAAATTGCTATTCTCAATAAGAAAATTAAAACAATTGAAAAAACAGCCACTGAAGAAGAAATCATTAATAAACCTTCTCAGTCAAGCATAATATTCTACAAAAAACATTTTGTTCTTATAAAACTGGTTATCAATGATAATTATATTGCAGAAACAGAAGCTTTATTTGACATAGGAGCTGATCTCAACTGTATTCAAGAAGGTCTTATCCCGACAAGGTTTTTTGAAAAAACAAAAGAAAGCCTCCGAGGAGCCAATGGTTCCCAACTAAACATTCAATTCTAACTCTCAAATATCCAAGTTCAATTCTCTTCTGTATCCATTAAAGAAACATTTCTTTTGGCAAATGACCTAACCAACAATGTTATTCTTGGAACCACTTTTGTTATCAAACTTATCCCTTATCTAACCACTGATGAAGAGATCATACCCCAAAAATATAGGCAAGATGCTCTTTTACTTTTTTCCAGAAAAACAATCCAAAAAACACTAAACTATCTATCCCTAAAAAACAGTCAAATCAATCTCTTAAAAGAAGAAATTGTCTACAAAAGGATTGATGAGCAGCTTAAGAGACCAAAAATACAACAAAGAATCCAGAATCTGCAAACAAGAATCCAAGAAATGGTTTGTGCAGAAGTTTCAAATGCATTCTGGACAAGGAAACAACATACTGTTCATCTTCCTTATGAACCTGACTTTGAGGAGAAAAATATTCCAACAAAAGCCAGACCTATACAGATGAATCAGAAACTACTACAACATTGCCAGAAGGAGATTAATGATCTCCTATCAAAAGGCATTATTAGCCCTAGCCAATCTCCATGGAGCTGTCCAGTATTCTATGTCAACAAACCATCAGAGATTGAAAGAGGAGTTACAAGGCTTGTAATCAATTACAAAGCTTTGAATAAAGCTCTTCGATGGATCAGATATCCTATACCAAACAAAAAGAATTTACTTCAAAAGCTTTATTCTGCCAAGATATTCTCAAAAGTCGATATGAAGTCAGGATTTTGGCAAATCCAGATTCATATCTCAGACAGATATAAAACAGCATTCACAGTACTGTTTAGACATTACGAATGGAACGTAATGCCATTTGGACTTAAAAATACTCCTTCTGAATTCCAAAGGATTATGAACGAGATATTCAGTCCTTACTCCTCATTCATCATTGTTTATAGTGATGATGTTCTGATTTCTCAGAAAATATTGAACAACACTTCAAACACCTAAATACCTTTCTTCATATTACCCAGAAAAATGGCCTTGTGGTCTCTCAAAAGAAAATCAGCCTTTTTCAAACAACTAAAATTAGGTTCCTTGGACACCATATCCACCAAGGAACCATTACTCCGATCAATAGGTCAATACAATTTGCTGATAAGTTTCCTGACCAAATTCTTGACAAACAACAACTCCAAAGATTTTTGGGTTGCTTGAACCATGTCTCGGATTTCATTCCAAATCTTAGCAATATAGCAAAACTCTTGTATGATAGACTAAAGACTACTTCACCGTTATGGACAGATATCCATATGGAAACAGTGAGAAAAATTAAAACCCAAGTCAAGGCTATTCCTTGTCTAGCTCTTCCAAATCCTCTTCCAACAATTCCAAAAATTGTTGGAGCGGATGCCTCCGATTTAGGATATGGTGGTATTTTTAAACAAACAAAAAATAATAAAGAACAAATAATTGCTTTTGCTTCAAAACGTTGGAACAATTCTCAACAAAACTATTCTACTATTAAAAAAGAAATTTTTGCAATAGTCTTATGTATTACAAAATTTCAAGCTGAACTACTAAATCAGAAGTTTTTACTTCGATTTGATTGTAAGTCAACTAAAGATGTTTTACAAAAAGATGTTAAAAATTTTGCCTCTAAACAAATCTTTACAAGATGGCAAGCAATTTTATCAATCTTTGATTTTGACATTGAATACATTAAAGGATCTTCAAATTCTATTCCTG